CTTGACATTGTGGCTTCTGCCTCCACTACCCAGCACTAAGACTGCCTGGCAATGGCCTCCCAGTTGCTATGTCTTACGCCCATTTGCAGCCTTCCTTCTATTTGCTTCTGCTCACATCCTACTTCTTGAAACCCTCGGCTCCAGACGCCCACTCCCTCCTGGTGCTGCTTCTCTTTTTAAATACTGGTGCTTCCCAGAGCCCTCCTCTTCTTTTTTTTTTTTTTTTAAATTTTTATTTTTATTTATTTCTAGGAGAGAGAGAGAGAGAGAGAGAGACAGCGTGAGCAGGGGAGGGTCAGAGAGAGAGGGAGTCACAGACTCTGAAATAGGCTCCAGGCTCCGAGCTGGCAGTCAGCCCAGAGCCCGACACGGGGCTCGAACCCACGAACCACGAGATCATGACCCAAGCGAAAGTCAGACGCTTAACCGACTAAGCCACCCAGGCACCCCAGAGCCCTCCTCTTCTTACCTGACCTGAAGATCTTACCTGTTGCTATGCTCAGTCATCACCCATGTCTGCTGGTGGCTCCAAAATCCCCATCCCTCACCCGCTGTCTCTCTGAACTCCAGGTCCCACCACCAGGATATGGTCACGCCCATTTTCCTGCTGGTAGCTCAACCTTAACATCTGCAAAGCCAAAATCACTCTTTCCCCTCAGCTCTGCTGCTTATTTATAAGCCGTGGCACCAGGGCACGATGCAGGAAGTGCCTGGACATCCAGTTTCTGAACTTGCAAAATGCCAATAATTCCCCACGGTGGGTTTCAGAGGAGACAGCGGGAGAGAAGCGCGGTGCCCACGGCGGGCACACCACAAGCACGCGGGCTGCTGATTTCTGCTGTCCCCATCCTCCTCCACCCTGAACGGCTCCTTATGTCAGTTTTCAACTACCCACGGCAGAAACCCAAGGCTTCTACTTCTCATGAGCTGCTAATTCCAGTGGATTCTACAGCTCTCACATCTGCCCCTGCTTGCTATTCCTACGGTTCCTGCCCAAGTTCAGGGCTTTGTCTCTTTTTGTCTGGCCAATCGCCTCAGCCTCCTTTTGCCTCCCAACCGGTCTCCAGTTGTTGGCTGAAGATACTCTTCTGGAACAAAATCATAATTCTATAATTCTATAATTCTCTAGCTGAAGGTACTCTTCTAGAACAAAATCATAATTCTATAATTCTCTAGCTCAGTCGCTAGAGCATGTGATTCTTTACTTTTTTTTTAATGTTTATTCATTTTTGAGAGAGAAAGAGACAGTGTCAGTGGGGGAGGGGCAGAGAGAGAGGGAGACACAGAATCTGAAGCAGCTCCAGGCTTTGAACTGTCAGCCCAGAGCCCGACGTGAGGCTCGAACTCATGGATGGTGAGATCATGACCTGAGCTGACGTCGGACGCTTAACCGACTCAGTCACCCAGGCGCCCTTAGAGCATGTGACTCTTGATCTCAGGGTTGTGAGTTCGAGCCCCACGCTGGGTGTAGAGAGTACTAAGAAATAAAATCTTAGAAAATAATAAGAATTCCCTTGTTTAATGTTCTGTGATGGCCCCAAGATCTGTCCAAATTGCTCCGCTAAATAATTCAGTCCTTTTTCACTCTGGTCATCCCTTTTCTCTCCTGAAGTCCTCCTTTACAAACTTTCTCTATTTTCTTACTTTTGAGCCTTGAACACCTGCTTTTTCAGCCTGAAATGTTCCCCCACCCCCTCCCTACCTCGTAACTCTGCCTGGAAAACATTACTCATCCTTCAAGGCCACTAAAACCACCTTCCCCTTCCTCATGGACGCTTAGTCATTTCTTCATCTTTGCTCCTACGACCCTTGGTAAGTGTTCAGCCATCCTTTGGCAAACACATCTGCTATGCGCCAGACAGTGTTCCTGAGGGTTTTGCAAATATTAACCCACTTAATTTCCATACAACCCTGTGAGGTGATTATTTTTGTTATCCCTGTCACAAAGGAGGAAGCTTTGAGGCCCTGGAGATATTCAGTCACTTGCCCAAGATCCCTTAGCTGAAGGCGGCCAAGGCAGTATTGGAACCCAGGCCATGTGGCCCCAGAGTCTGGGTTCTGGTTCCTCTTACTCTGCTGCCTTTCTGCTTGGATAAATATCATTGAGCACCGAGTATGAAGCTAAACAATATGAAATTGCCAATATTTGATCATTTTTGACCTATAAAAGCAGCACATTTGTATGGTTCAGTGTGTTAGACACTTGAGACAGGGCAGTAAACTCTCTGGATGGACACATTTTTGTCCCTAGAGAGGAGACAACAATAGACAAGGAATCAAGAGAGCACGTGGCCTGATTTAGGAGGTGTGCAAGAGCCCCCTGCTGAGGAACTGATAGCTAAGACCCTAAAGAGGAGTAGAGGCGGAGGAGGAGTTAGCGGAGGGGAAGGGAAGGGACTTGCAGGCAGAGGCACAAGCTTGGAACAACATAGGCTAAGGCCTGAAAGCTAAGAGGAAGAGCTGCCCACTCTGTCACCCAGTATTTACTATCTGGCACAGAGCAGGTACTCAATAAGGACTTGTCGAAGGAATAAATGAAAAACTGGAGAGAAGCGTCAGCTGGAACTGATACAGTGAAAAGTGGGGATCTAAGCAGGAGAGTGATTTACTTTTTTATTGTCTTAAAGTCAGGTTTAATGAGGTATAATTACTGAGAGTGAAATGCACCCTTTGTTGTGTATAGTTCCGTGAGTCTTGACAGACACGTCAGTGGTGTAGGCACCTTCAGAGACAAAATATAGTTCAGTCCCATCCAAAAACTCCCCGGGGGTTGCTCCTTTGTGGCCCGCCCCTCCCCCACCCCCAGGAAACCACCAGTCTGTTCTCTTGGTGTGGTTTTGCCTTTTCCAGAATGTCATGTGGATGAACTCAAATACCATGTAGCTTTTAGAATCTGGCTTCTTTACTTAGAATAACACATTTGAAATGTGTCCCTATTGTGTGTGTCAGTGCTTGGTTCCTTTCTTTGTTGCCCCAGAGAATTACATTGCAGGGTTTTCTCACAGCTTGGTTTACTATATACTCACGAGGGGATGGATTCAGATTCACTTTATTTTTATTTTTTATTTTTTAAATGTTTATTTCTGAGAGAGAGAGAGACAGCGTGAGCAGGGGAGGGTCAGAGAGAGAGGGAGACACAGAATCTGAAGTGGGCTCCAGGCTCTGAGCTAGCTGTCAGCACAGAGCCCGATGCGGGGCTCGAACCCATGAACCGTGAGATCATGACCTGAGCTGAAGTCGGACGCTCAACCGACTGAGCCACCCAGGCGCCCCTCAGATTCACTTTAAAAAGCAAACATCACTGCACCTGGCATGGATGGCATGGGGCCTTCCACATCTCTGCTATATGTCCACTGGCCTTTTCTGGATGGTGAACAGTGAAGATGGGAACTATGTCTTTGTTGGTTTTACTGACTGCTCCCGGTACCCGCCAGGGCACAGAAGGTTCTGAGTGAGGAATGGAAGCCACTTGGGGCAGGGTGTGGGAAAGGAGGGCCAGGTGGAATTGTTGAGCGTGAGGGTACAGGGCAGGGCAGGGCATGGTGTGAAGACTGGGTGCTTGGCTTTGGGGAAGAAAGGCTGGGCAAGAAGGGCCTCATTGCAAGAGTAAAGGAAACCAGAATGCCTGGTCTTAACTTCAACTTGGAGCAAAATAAGGAAGCAAAACAAAACCCCCCAACATGCTAGCCAATCTTCTCTTGCCTCCCCTGGAGGGGAAATGAATTCTGCCCTTGTCTTCTCCTGGCCGACAGATGGCGATGTCGCACTGTGCCCGAGCTCGGCCTCTGCCGTCACCCACTCATTCAACAGACATTAGGGGCCTTAGCCGCTGGCCGGAAGTACCACCTTGTCCACAACCCTTTTTCCTTTTTACAGGGAAAGGACTTACCCACACTCCTGAAGCTGTGTCTCAGAGAGCAAGGGGCTCAAACCCAATTTCCCCCTGCACCTTCCTCTTGTACCATCTCTAGAGAGAGGACAGTTTGTTGAAACATCAGGCGTGGGAGGAAGTCTCCAAGCGAGAGAGCACAGGTGGAGGGACAAATGGCCGTGACCATAAGGCCTGGTGGGTCTAACTCTGCTGCCAGTTTGCCATGTGACCTCAGCTGACTTGCCTCTCCTTAGCCTCCACATCTGTAAAAAGCTGATCTTCCAGCTGTAAAACACCAGGTGCTGTGGATCACACACATTCTTCTGGGGGCTTCCACTCATAACTGATCCTTCTATGCCAGGCAGACTGGAAAGGCTGCACATGACTTCATGTGCCTTCTCTTCCAGTTGTTAAATAGCTGCTGATCTAGCACTAGATTTGCCACATCCAATATAGGCCACTCAGTTAAATTTGAATTTCAGATAATCAACAGATAAACATTAAGTATAAGTATGTTCTAAATATTACCTAGGATATATTTATACTAAAAAAGTGGGGGGAGGGCAAGGTGGCTTAGTCGGCTAAGCGTCCAACTTCAGCTCAGGTCATGATCTCGTGGTTTTTAGGTTCGAGCCTGCATCGGGCTCTGTGCTGACAGCTCAGAGCCTGGAACTTGCTCTGCGGTTTCTGTGTCTCCCTCTGTCTCTGCCCCTCCCCTGCTCATGCTTTGTCTTTCTCTGTCTTTCAAAAAAATTTTTTAAAAATTGTTTTAAAAAATGTGATGCTTGTCAGAAATTTAACTTAGGTGCCCTGAATTTTTATTTGCTTAATCTGACAACCTTGTCCGCCCTCAAGCCCCTCTTCCAGGACCCCCACATCTTCACCCTGTTTGGCTAGTCCCCAATTTAGTTGGTTGTTAAAAGTTTTTCCCCCTAAGGTTTTATTTTTAAGTAATCACTACACCTAACACTGGGCTCCAACTGGAAACCCAGAGATCAAGAGTCACAGGCCCCCTAGACGGAACCAGCCAGGCGCCCCAGTGGTTATTACAACCACGTGTTTTGACAACCACGCCTGACTACCAGAGTGGCAGCCAAAATGTAACTCGTTCTCTGTCTTTCCCTCCCAGGCCTGGCGCTGCTGCTGCCACCTGCCACTCTGGCCGCCCTGGCAGACAGCTGGCTCCGAGAGGACTGCCCAGGTCCCAACCGCGCAGCCTTGGTCACGGGGGCAGCCCCCGCGCAGGCCGCGCTGTGGGCCAAGTCCCCCGGGGTACTGGCCGGGAGGCCATTCTTCGATGCCGTCTTTGCCCAAGTCAACTGCCAGGTCTCCTGGCTCCTCCCCGAGGGCTCCAAGCTGGTGCCCGTGGCCAAGGTGGCCGAGGTGCGGGGCCCCGCCCACTGCCTGCTGCTGGGCGAGCGCGTGGCCCTGAACACGCTGGCCCGCTGCAGTGGGGTTGCCAGCGCCGCGGCCGCAGCGGTGGAGGCCGCCCGGGGGGCCGGCTGGGCCGGGCACGTGGCGGGCACGAGGAAGACCACGCCGGGCTTCCGGCTGGTGGAGAAGTACGGGCTCCTAGTGGGCGGGGCCGTCGCCCACCGCTACGACCTGGGAGGACTGGTGATGGTGAAGGACAACCACGTCCTGGCAGCCGGCGGGGTGCAAAAGGTGCGTGTTGGGCTGGGCCCCTGCCCGGGCCCCGCTCCGACCTCCCTGCCACAGCCCTTCCCCTCTGCCAGACACCCCCCGACCACACCTGGGTGAACAGTGCCTGCAGGGGGTGGGGGGTGGGGGCTTGGGGGTGCGAGACTCCTCACGTGCCCCCCCCCCCCCCCCCCCCCCCCCCACGAGGCGAAAGAAGCCATTCCGATGCCAGGTCTTCCCATTAACCCCAAGCTCGTTATCCACCGGGGGCCCTTCAAACGCCAGGCCCACCCCACTGTGCCCGGTGCCAGGTGCCCCTGTCCTCGCTCTCACCCTCCCGTCCCCCCACTCGCCAGGCGGTTCGAGGCGCCCGGCAGGTGGCGGACTTCGCCCTGAAGGTGGAGGTGGAGGTCAGCAATCTGCAGGAGGCCGTGGAGGCCGCCGAGGCAGGAGCCGATCTGGTCCTGCTGGACAACTTCAGGCCTGAGGTGAGAGGCGGGGTCTGCTTCCCGGGAAGGGGCCGCGAGGCGCGCTCTCACCTCCCCCCGGCCGTCTTGTGTCTCGCAGGAGCTGCACACCTCGGCCGCTGCGCTGAAGGCCCGGTTCCCGAGTGTGGGCGTGGAGGCCAGCGGGGGCATCACCCTAGCCAACCTGCCTCAGTTCTGCGGGCCCCACATTGACATCATCTCTCTGGGGATGCTGACCCAGGCCGCCCCGGCCCTCGATTTCTCCCTCAAGCTGTTTGCCGAAGGGACCACTCCAGTGTGCCGCGCCTACCGGCCCTAAAGCAAAAGAGGGCGCCCCTGGCAGTGAAATACCGCGGTGTCTTGGGCCCCTCGAGTCTGCAGTACAGGACCCTCCCAGCGTTAGCCCGGGCCGAAGTCTGGCTCTGCCTGTGTGGGGTGGAGGGGCTGATTTTTGCCTCTGCTCCTCTGTAAAATGGGTCTGATAAATGATCAACCTTATGGCTTTCTTTGGGTGATAATTAACACATAATAAGTGTTCAGGGACTTTTAGAAATTACCATAGTAGTTTATAGTTAATCGATTCTAAGATATGCCTTTTTTCACACACTTCTCCGACGTCAAAGTGCGTCTTTAACCGATGGTGTCTAGTGGTCACTGTCAGCTGGGCATCAGTAATCACATCGGCCATCATGTCCCTAGCATGAAGCTTGTAGATAAAACATGATGACAATCTATGTTGGCCAAGATAGCTCTTTTAACAAATACCAGAAAGAACTTGTAAGTGATAAAGGAAGCATTGGTCATAGTTTAATTGACAAGTCTCTTTTCCAGTAATAGCACATGTATTTTATAGTCAATGGCATTTTATACTTGAGGATGTATAGCATCAGTTCTGATATTCAGATAGAACATTCTACCTGGTCGATGCCCATGTTGTACTGGTTATTGAGTATGTTCCCTCTCACCATTGGCTACTGTTACCACCTCCTTGGAGGAGGTGAGAACTTGACTGTTGCTTTGGGGGTTTCCAAAAGAGTCCACCATGTATCGCCATTTGGTGCCGAGGGCCCTTTAGGTCTTGGTCCCCTAGCGCTGTCATTAGCCGGGAAAGGAGGGTGGGCATGGCGCAGCTGGGGCCAGAGCAGAGTTTGAGGGAGTAGGGGATGGGGCATGTAGAGGTCCATGTTCGACATCAACTTCTTTTCCTACTAAGTCAAGACTCAGAGGTCTAAGCAGAGAATCTAAATCCAGCTACCCAAACACACTCACACACCTGAGGTATGACTCACTGGTTTGGCCACTCTACCCTCACTTCAAGCCTGGGGCCCACTTCTCTCTAACCCTTCTGGCGTGGCTCTGGGAAGAAAAGACATGAGGGCTCTCTAGGGCAAAGTGGCCCCTGAGGTGACTTTCCCAGAAAGGCTCTAGTCTGGAGCTACCTCTCCCCTCCGAGAACTTGCTGCCTGCTCTGCCCTTTGCCAGCAGGAGAGAAAAGCAGCTCATCCGCAAAGCTCCTTTCCCAGAGGAAGTCTGGGGGTCCCAGTCTGCCTTGAAGGAGGTAACCTACCCCTTTCCCCCTTCCTCAGTGCTGGAGACCCCCTGCTGGGAAGGCAGCAGATCAGAAAAACAATGAGCTCATCTCCCATGTGAAAGTCCCAGAGAAGCCAACACCATCATCCACACACCAATTATGCACTGAGTGCCTGCTGTGGCCAGGCTGAGAGCACACAGTGGACATTAATCTAGCAAAGATGCCGGGCAGAAGTGGTGAGCCACTCCTTTGGTGATGCCCTGATCTGAAGGGACCATTCTCACAGGACAACCCAGTGGTGCCACCCGGGGCTGCACCCGTTCTCTTTAATACGCACTTCCACCCCTGGGTCCTCCCGTCTTTTCTCCAGGGAAAACAGTCATGCTCAGCTAGGCAGACTTCCTGGCTCTAGGAAACTTAGATCTCTGAGCCTCAGCTCCCCAGACCTGAAGGGGCATGGATAGAATCAGGGGCACTGTTGAGTGTCAAAATAAGGAAGTCAGGATTCCTGGATGCGCTGGGATTGGGAAGGCAAAACACTTGGGATCCAGGAGGTTATCAGAGCTTGACAGAGGCAGAAGGGAGAAGTGTACCAGGAATCTCAAACTCAAAGCCTCCAGGACCTAAGCTGATAATATACATGGGAGAAGCTGGAATAAGACAAAGCTCAGTGGGCTGCGGCCAACTGGGGAATGCGTGCTGCACTCACCACATCCCAATTAAGACAGAAAAAAAGAAATCTACCAGGCTGAGTCTCAAGCTCACCCTTGAAGCCCGAAATGGGTCAGCCTTACAGGCACCTCCACGTCCAAGAGCTGGGAGGGGATTCCATTACCAGAGGAAAAGGAAATGAATCCTGAGCAGGCAAAACCAACACATGCCTTCCTTGCAAGGGAGTGGATTTCCAGGCAGAGGGGACTTCAAGGGCAAAGCTCAGAGGTAGGAAATGGCTTGGATTGTTTGGTGGAAGATTTGAAGATGGGATCAAGAGAGTCAAGATGGCTAGGATCTGGGCTGGGTCCAGACCACAAGATGGTAGGTCAGAGGACTTGGACTCGGTCCCAAGAACAATCAGACTGAAGCTGGAAAGTGAGATAAGCATATTTGCAGTTGAGACCGAGTCTACTGCACAAAGATGCGTTTGAGGGGGCCACTGGCTGCAGGGAGCCCAGGAGGAGGCTGATGCAGCCCCTCAGAGTCTTGAATGTGGGTTGCAGCAATACGGTTGGAGGGAAGGGAATGCAGTCAGAGGAAACAGCATGTGCAAAGGCTCAGAGGACAGATGGCACCCCATAGGTTCATGGCAGTAGGAAGAGTTGGGTGTGGCTGTGGGAGTGGGGAGGGCAGGGGAGGTGGTGGGGGCAGTATTGGAAGAAGAGAAATCTCACACCTCACCTGATATCACCCTGTCTGCCAGGTACACTTCCTTCTTGCCTGGCCAGCCTGGCATTGGGTTTGGATGATTTCCCCAAGCTGCCCATGCCCTGCAAGGCCCATGCTCATTGTGGCGAGTGTGCCCATCAAATTGAGGGCTGGAGTCAGCATATAATGTGTTATCAATGCTGGCTGGTGGGTGAGCAGGGAACACCCATCGACTGAGAGCCCTTGCTCAGCCCAGGTAGGTAGGTCTCTTTCCCTCAGTGCTCGTGAGGGGTGGGCGCTCTATTTTACCCATGAGGAAGCTGAAGATTTATGAAGTTAAGTCAGACATCAATAAAGTGGTGGAGCAGCGTTTGAAATCTGTCAGTCACTAGTTCAATAAATATGTATTGAACACCTAATGTGTACCAGGCACTATTCAAGACAGTATATATACAACAATGAGTAAACAGACAAAAATCCCTGTCCTTGCCGGAGTTTACATTCTATGGGGGTGGGGCGGGGCGAGTCTAGACAGTGAAAATATTTGTACCTAAGAATACCAAATGTCAAGTCCCCTCTTGGCCACCAGAGGGCACTGAAATCACACCACCTTCCTTTCTCTGCTTCCGTCTTCCTTTCGGGTTCCAAAGAGAACAGCCAAGGAGGCTATGAATACTCAGTGCATCTGCTCAAGGGTGAAAGCTGAGGAGAGGGGTGCCACAGTCCTTCTACCACCCACTTTTCCAGCTTACTCCCCTCCCCAGATCTCCATCCAACTGCTCAAGATCTCTCAGCGACTTTACAGGGCACTGTATACTCCAGAGGTTACCAAGGCTCCTATTATGCACTCATCAATCCATCCACCCTGCTTCCTTTTGCCCATCTGCCCACCCCTCTTTCATGTTCTTATCGCTCTTCCAGCCCTCCATCCACCAACTGGGGCATTCAGTCTAGGGGATCTGGGTCCAGGAAGACAAGAGGTCAAACCAGGTTGACGGTATCAGCGAACTCAGTGGGCATGAGTTTTAGTGTGCCAAGGCCAGTTAGAAACTGAAGGCATTTAAAAACGGCAAGAGATTATTAGCAAACCAAACTGTATCTGAAAGCAATTCAACTTTGGCTCTTTAAAAGATCCCACTGTGGTATTATGTGGTGTGGACACATATATTAATTTATCGCTGGCCCTTCAAGACAATATAGTAGGTAAAATTCCATAAATATTTCAGTACCTCTGGACTTTGTTCCAATCACTTCTTGAGTAATAGATCATTTTGGCAGTTACTCAGTAACACTTTAAGACCTGCTTTCTGAGGCCCTAAGTAGCTCAGCTTGTAAAAGCAATCTACAAAGTACTGAAGGGAATCTGACCTTACAGCTGTGAATAATGTCTCCACTGATCACTGCATACCTCAGATTTATGCCAGTTGATGAGGGCTTTCTTCATTTCAGGCATGCAATGCTCTTTAGATCGCTGGAATCTGGTACAGCACTCCTGGAAAATGATCAGAGGCAGAGACACTGAAACATATCTCTAGTTTGGTGGGTTGCTGGGTAACCTTTTTTCCTCTCTCCCAGCAATTCAGCTGCGAGATTCCAAAGCCTTAGTACCAACAAAGAGCTAGCCCACAAGCCACTTGCTTCCTGATATTTGGTTGCTTTTTAGCCAAAGGAAAGCAGTTTTGTTGGAATAATCTATCAGTAAGTGAAGGATGATGCTGATTTCTTAAAGGCTGGATAAAAATCATTCTTCCCACATGAACAAACAACAACCAAAGCCCCTTAACTGTATTCTCACCGAGAACCGAAACTATGTCATTTTTATTTTTTGCATGATTTGCTTTGTTTTCTCGAATGTTACGAGCCTGAAGGGGAACATACTGAGATTTGGCAGCTTTTTAGGTAAAAGACTGTATTGACACAGTTTTGTATTTGTGGTAGAGTGACTGCCCAAATAGACGAATGATTTCAGAGGCTAAACCAAGACTTGAATTTTTTAAATTCCAGTCTAATTAATTCTAATGAATGAAAGTGCATTGGGGAAGACAGAGAAGGTGCAAGAGAGCTGTTTCCATGACCTGTCTGTGGCAACAATTCAGGGACGCTCTGCATACAATAATTAAAAAAGAACCAAAAAAAGCTTCGTATATCTTCTCTGACAGTTAATTTACACTTGCCTTTATTTTTCATTTGTTGATGAATTCAGTTATCGCAGTATAAAATGAAGAAGTGAAAATCTCTATGCACTCCCATTCCCTGGAGAGAACCACTTTTAAGAAGTTGTTTTTAATTCTTCTGGTGACTCTCTTGAATTGTAAAGATGATCCTTTATAGCTTTTAAAGCTCTCTGGACTCCCTGTATAAAGGACAAAGAATTTAGCTAATACACACTTTCTTTTCTTTATTTTTGTTAGTTTTATTATTAAATTTTTTAAATGTTTATTTATTTTTGAGAGAGAGGGAGAGACAAAGTAAGAATGGGGGAGGGGCAGAGAGAGAGACACAAAAAATCCGAAGCAGGCTCCAGACTCTGAGCTGTCAGCACAGAGCCTGACACGGGGCTCAAACTCAAGAAATGAGAGAATGACCTGAGCTAAAGTAGGATGCT